TAAGGTTAAAATAAAAAGCTGTTATTTTGACATTACAAACAGACACTTCAATTTTATTTATTTGTATAGACCAAACGAGAAATATAAGTGTTACAGTCAAAGAGATTTAAATATATACTAAGCTATAATTAATTGCTTATTTTGCCTTCCTAAAAAAATGATTAAAATAAACGGTATTCTTATTATATAATAAATATGTCTACTACTTAAATGTCTTTGGTTACAGTACATAAATACGATAGCGCAAATTAACTACGATACAGATACACAATACAGTCAGAAAAAAAAACTATAATATATTATATCATTTTAATAAGACATAGCATGACGCGTGCAATCTTTAAGGGGTCTAAACAGCAGCGAGCTCGTCAAATCACGTTTAGCTCAAAAATTATGGATTAATTTGGAAAATTGTAAAAAAAAAAAACTGATAGGTGGGGATGGGTAGCACACTATCTACACAATCAGTAATTCAATATCCCATTAGGATGCGTACAGATTAACATGTTGTGTAAGTTATGTTTTATAACACTTTCACATTATGTTACATTGTTTTTCAACATTGTAATATATAACAATACTGTACACATTAGAATAACAATACTATATAATAATGTTATATGACATTGTCGTTGGTCGTTCTGCAGTGTTATTCACAATGTAAAGGCTTGCAATAATAAAAATATCATAAAAAAAATTCTCTTACCTATGGAATACCCGCCTCTTTTGTAGAGCAAACCTTATTTTTATTAGTTATATAATATATACGCACCTTTAGACGCCTTTTACGACATGCCAGGCAACTACTACAGTTAACAGAAATTCTTTTTTTTAAAGTCCCATAAAACATTTGAACTATAAGTCCCGGACCGACATGGGATATTATATGAAATAGAAAATTTAAACGGTACTTAACACTACAATAATTCCTTTTTTTTTAAGTTTTAAAAACTATAATAATAATAAAAAAAAACAACTAAAACTAGAAACTTAATTATCATATAGACCTACTCCCCGCGGTATCGTGCCAAGAATGCTGGCTGCGTTTCCACGCTGAATGGCTATACTTAGCCTTTGTGCGAGAAAAGAACCAGCCCTCTTATCACTAGCAGCAACGACCAGCCGCGGATGGAGTTCCTTTAGGAACTTCACCGCACGTGGACCCCACGGACCGATAGTCTGTAGTCATCTCTCAGAGACTCTTATTTGCGCCACTTACTCAGTTCAGCTGCCTCTGATGTCGCCCCGGCTCTAATCGAGGTACCCCTGAGATGAGAGGCCGCCAGAGTGTCTACGCAAGTAGCATCCCAAACTAGGGCTTTACCTCTCTCCCAAGGGACCAATGTCATACCGTCGGGTCTCCTGCCATCGTCTCTAAATATTCCACAAGGCTCTAAAACAGAGGGAACATTTATAGAGACAAGAGCCCTTCGGATGACATCGTTCAAAGAACTATGTCGTGAAAACCTACCAGCGCTTTTCTGACATGAAAGTCCGTGGAGCCCAAACTTGTCGACGCTACTACCACATGTGCACTCATGGGGTTGACAAATCGCCGCTCCTAGTCTAATTCCTACGGCGATGCGCAAGCTTTCCCCATCAAGTAATGTGCCGAGATTACTTGATGATAAAGCGTGTAACCAGTGACTAGATTCCTTAGTCGAAACAGCTAGAAGGCGTGCCTTATCTTGGTCACTATGGAAATTATGAAACAAATCTTTCTGCACGCCCCGTACCAACGGAGTATCCCACAGTTTTTGTTCGTTAACTTCCAGTGGAACATTCTCACCGGGACAGAGCGTTTGCCATGTCTGCCCTGCCTCCGTAGCAAATCATAGGTCTACTTTATTATTTAAAATTATGTTACATAAGTCACTGACACTATGCACGAAAGCAAGGAAAGCAGGCAATGCAACGCTAGAAAGATATCTCACACCAATGCTACCAAATTTTATAGGTGAAGTAGCTTGAGTCCAGGCTGTTGTATTTAAAGTTAAATTTAGAATTTTTTCTATAGCTATTTTAAAATTATTATATTCTATAATATCTTTTAAAATATCCGAACGTTTCCAGACTGGACTCGAGCGAAGTAAGTATGTAAATCTAGGTACAAGGAGACAATATTTTAAAAAGTAAGAGCTATGTGGGGGTTTAATTTATACAATTTATCAACGTGGTTTAAAAACTGATCAAATTTTGTTTTTAAAACAGGTTTAATACTATCAAAAAACAACGGGGCACCTAGCAGGTATAGTGATTCCGTACTGACAGTTTTTATTCCTGGAGAAGCATGATTGAAATTTTGAATTAAACTGTCTCTATGACAAGTAGATAAATTATTGGAAAAAAATATTTCACATTTATTGCTATTTGGTTCAAGACCAATATTTTTAAAATTTCGAAAAATATGAGTAAGATCACTGAGGACGTCATCTGCTCTACCTCCCAGTGTACCGTCGGCCAGGTACCAGACATTCAGCTTGGATTTCAAATTTGAAATAATGGGTTGAATTCCCAAACTGAAAAGTGCTGGACCTAGTGGGTCGAATCGATAACATGGTTTTCGTAAAAAAAGTTAGTATTTTGACTATAACATTGCCAAACGTAATGATAAATTTCGGGGGTATTTTTAGCCACTTCTTTCAACAAGGCACCCTATCGATAGAGTTAAAAGCATTCCTTAGGTCAAACTTCACAAGAACATCTGCATCAGAGTTTGTTTAAAATGTACGCACTGAATGTACCGCCGCCTCACAGCCACCTCTAGTGCCAAACCCTAGTTAAGTAGGCTGAAATTTGGTCTTAAGGTTAGAGATTATGTGCCTGCAAGCTAATTTTGTAGACTGTACACCCAGTGCGTGTTGCCAGTGATGACATACGGAACTGAGACGTGGTCCTTCACTGCTGGCCGGATGAGGAAGCTCAAGGTCGCTCAGCGAGCTATGGAGAGGGCTATGCTCGGAGTTTCTCTGCGTGATAAACTTAGGAATGAGGATATCCGCAGTAGAACCAGAGTAACCGACATAGCCCAACGGATTAGTAAGCTGAAGTGGCAATGGGCCGGCCATATAGCTCGAAGAACCGACAACCGATGGGGAAGAAAGGTTCTCGAGTGGCAGCCTCGTACCGGTAGGCGAAGTGTAGGGCGTCCCCCCACGAGATGGAGTGACGACCTGGTAAGACATGCAGGAAGTCGATGGATGCAGGTGGCTCAGGACCGTGCTTTGTGGCATTCTTTGGGGGAGGCCTATGTTCAGCAGTGGACTTGTGAAGGGCTGTAATGATGATGATGATGAAGCTAATTTTGAAGTTAAGCGTCGAAATGTAGAACCAACGGCAATAGGACGGATACCGTTATCCTTTTTTTTTGAAGGCACACAATCTTGCCCCATATAAGAATGGAATGAAATTTGGATTAATATTACCAGAAATCATAAAGGTACATAATTTTGTAATGTCTTTAAGAAGTACTCCGCCGGCGTCACCGGCAGAAGCGCTTACAAGATCTTTAAGATGTTGAGGCGTAATTCCGTCAATGCCGCCAGCAGAGCCATTCGAAAATGACATAATTGCTTCTAAAGTTTCTTTTTCAGAAACTTGTAAAGGTTGCATAGAAGTCTTGGGAGGCAGCGGTAAACCCTGAGAAGGTTTGACCGAAGGATGTTTCTGACGAAGGCTTTCAAGAGTTTCGACATTACGAGGAGCCAGTATGTCGTCTGAGAATAAAATACGGGATGCATTTTTTAAGTCGCCATCCATTACTTTCGACTCAACTACTTTTTTTACATCATATTTAGGCCGTGGTCGAGATAAATGAGTTTTAATTGGGTAATCTAAATTTTGAAAAGATGTCTGTTTTAGTTGAGACGTAATTGATTTATTTATTGTTTTATCAAAATGAAAATGGGAATATGCGAAAGTAAATAATTTTTGCCAACTATTTTCACTATTAGTGAAACAATTTTGAATAGTGCATGACAATGCTTTAGCAAGCTGCACCCTCGCACCTCTAGGAATTCTTTTAACCACTGGTACATTACAATGATAATTGTAAATTTGCTCCGAAAAAAGGGTAAAATTTGTGTCATTAGTTGAATTGCTAAAAGAGTTATGAATTTCTACGGTAGGCTGTGAAGCCGAAATAATATATAAATAATTCTTGTTTATTATAAATTATAAATTCTGTATTAAATTACATCAGTTGTAATAAACGTATTACGTATATTTTATAGTGTTTTATTGTAATTTGTTTAATATCACTTAGGGCTGATTTTTAATCCTTAGATAAAATTTATTCATAGGATAAATAACATAAAGAAAAAAATAGTGTTGTATGACTAAAATAGTTTGCTTCACTTTTCAATTCAGTCGGGTTATAATTAATTTGATAAATTATTTTTATCTGATGGTTGAAAAATATTAGACCTTCGACTCTCGATAATTTGAAACTCAAGGGACCAGACAAAATTCAAATTACCAGGAATTCCGTGGTTTTTTAAAAAGAAAAAACTGCCCCGTATATTCCCGTCGGTGTTCCGGACAGCAGCGTCAAAGGTGAGCCAACTGTACTTTAGGGACCATACTTACCAGTTGGCAAACGCTCATAGGTTCGATTCCGGTGGTATCATCGTTACATTACCATATAAGGTAATCTCGTGCAGCAGCGCCTACAGACGGGCGGTGCGGGCGCACCACCTCTTTGAACCTTGACCAGGCGGTTACGTAATACAACGGAGAGAGATTGTCGCTCTGGTTTTGGACGCTTGTTATTTAATTATTTATGTGTGTACTAAATTCTGTTACCTATTTTCTCTTAAGCTTCTCTCTGCCTTTCTTTATTTATTGCTTATTTGTTTTTGTAAGTGTTGCATTCAAAAAATGGGGTGACGATTGCACACGGTAAACACACTAATGGCATGTATAAATGGCTCCTCACACATTAGTATCACAATTTCAAGTGTAAGGATATTGAGATAAAAATGAAAGAAATAACATTTTTTAAAACAAAGCTTTAATAAATTAGTTAAAATTTACTCTCGCAAGGAAAACATTCACTACAATTTAATGCTAACATTCATTGGGTACACAACTGTTTTTGCCTATATAATCTGTTCCTTTTGTCTTAAATGAAAACGAACAAGGGGCACTGTGTTGGTTTCCTAACTCATGGAACAAAATAGTAAACTATATGAATTGAACTTAAGTTTCGGGTTTCAAACACTGATTTTAATGAACTCTAACACGTACTTGACTTGTATAATCAAATGAATTATTAATTAACAAACAATTTACAGGTAATTTTTGGATGTAATTGCGCAAACAGGATCTAACTCACACTCGCTTCAAAATCGAGTTGTATATGTCAAACCATTCCATTTCAAGCAAAGGCAACCTTTTGATTGATCCTGCTATACCGTAAAAATTATTCAAAAAAGAAACCTCAGTCGATAACAAGCAAAGTTACAAAATAATCGAAGCAAGACACTGTATACAAATCCAAACAATAGCTTTTTGTGGGTTAGACCTATTTTTCGTAACAACAAATTGAAGTATAATATACTTAATTACTTCAATGTAACAACTTTCCTTTTTTTAATACAGACATCATTAAACAATAGAAAATTGTAAACCAAAAATGCAACAGTAACAGTTGTATGACCCTTTCTCCTCTACGGATGACGTCAATTTTTATTCGACCATAATTTCGATGTGTACGGAGCCCATGCCCTCGTGTCTGTCGTACATAATATTGTGTGCCCACGCACGACACTCTATGTTGATCAACATACCAGCTGAAAATAAAAATAAAAAAAACTTAAATCGTCTCACATCTAAAGCACAGATTAGCCCTGGATGCGTGAACTTTGATTTTGGCAGCAAACGATACTATAGGAATGTGAAGAACTTGTTTTTAAACAGTTAAAAAAGGGTTTTAGCGGGAACTTGAACGGTGGTGGGTTGCTATTCTATTTATATATTATGGGATTTTAATAAGTAAAAGTGGAGCGATTTTGTGTATTAAATGTCAACGCATGTGAACTATTGGTGGGAACGATGAAACGAAAAATTCGATGGTGGTGTGAAACTCAAGTTATTGTGTCTGCTTTGGCGATTTGAGGTACTATAGGCATCGACTATCTGCCAGCTCAGGTGCTCGTCAAAATCTCCCAATGAGTTCGCAATGTGACGCATCAACATGTTGCAAAGAAATTTTTAAACAGATTATATTCTAGGATAATTACTTATTAGGGGGTCGTCCATTAATTACTTGAGGTGTTTAGGAGGGGGGAGGGAGAGGGTCGAGCCGACTCTCGCCCAATCTCACGTGAGGGAGAGGGAGGGTCTTAGCAAATATCACGTAATTTTTTCCCGCAAGAAATATTTTGCGAAAATTGGGCTAAATTAAGTAAAAATAATTCAAAATAATATTTATCGCGGTTATGCGAACATCACAAATTATATAAAAATAATTCAGCAAATCATGTTTTTTCTTTTAAATAAACGATTCGTTATTAATAAATAAAGATTGCGTTAATTGAGCACAAATTAAAAAATATACAAAAATACACATTTAGAAAAATATTGAGATTTGGGCGGGAGGATTGAGGAGGTCAAGCCATATCTCACGACATCGGCGACCAGGTGGAGGAGAAGGGTAGAAAAATCTACAAAATCGCCTTACGTAATTAATGAACGCATGTTCACTTGCAAAAGTACGATAGTACGAGCCATTACCAAAAAAAAACAATTAAAAAAATATAACAAAATTCTTACTCTTCGGCCTTTGCAAATGAACGGCGACGAGAGGACTGAGGTAGCCTTCTTGATTCGTATATGGAAAGTAATATCCAGGAAATCCTCTGTTAGGTAGATACTGGATAGGTCCAATGTTCTCCCGATCAGCTGGGTTCTCTCCTTGACACGAAACCCACACCATGTTCAACTGGAATTGTATAATAGATAGTTAATAAGTTGAAATTACCGCGTAGAGGCGGCGTAAGTGATCTATCACTCGATTCGTGCCTCGTGGGTGTCGTAAGATAAATCGCCAATTTACCTGTCAAGTGTGACGTTTAAGGTAAATCCTGCCTAGGAGGGGCCCATGTCTAGCAGCAGACTTTTCGCGGCTCATGGAGAAGAAGATTGAAATTATGGAAGTTTCTGACTTACATGTAACATTGTAAGAGAAACCGTTGGGAAAGATTTTTTGTATGGGATTGTTGTACCCTTTGTGAGAATAAATCATACCAAGTTTTTTTTTTATAGAATAGGAGTGATAAGCGAGCATACAGTCTTCCTGATTGTAAGTGGAGGCTATGACACATATATGCCTACATCTATTTTGCAATAGAAATCAAGATTAATGTTTTTTATATAAACATCATGGATGTCAGACAGTCTGCAGCCCCGTAATGGAGGGACCCAACTTGGGCACATCTACTTAGGCTGTAAGTCAAATCAAGACGCAGAGAGCGCCATTGAGAATAGCGACCCGCCAAACAACCATCCCATAGATGCAATGCTGCAAAACGCAACAAGCATCAATACTACCTCGTTTCTAGTAAAATTGGTCTCCGTTTCTATACACTCACCATACGAACCACAGCGGCATTAAGTTGCTATTTTACGCTTGTAGTCCGTGACAAAACCTGATTGTGCCGACCCATTCGTACTGCAACCACAATATTGCTGAGCACGGCTCTACCACGTAAATTAAAATGTGAAAAGGTTTTTCATATGAGTAAGATTGTCACCATAATACACACCTTAAATCATCTGTAATAGACGCGAAGGCCAGCGTATAGCGTTAAATCTAAAGAATTTCTTTTTACCCGATGGCTCGGTAGCGTTTGGTCGTAGGTCGAAGGTAGACAAATATTCTTTTCGAGTGTGGATGTTTGGCCAGAGTAATTTATGTACTCTACACATGTAAAACGGCCATACGATTAAGGAGTAATTAATTATAACTTACATAATTTTTATCGTAGGCCGTCAAATTCCTGATGTGTTCCTTCAAATCGTCTGGCATGGCTGGAGGCAGGGCGTCTGAGCTATTGTAGAAGACTGGCTTCCATCCATAGATCTTGTTAAGTTTAAGGAACACGCAAGGCGTGGACTTGTGGTAGGCGAAGTTGTTTTCTTGGACGCAAGGACCCCAGGCGCTGATGTCCACGTCGCAGACCTTGCCCGCTGGCGCTGGGAGCTTGAAGTCACAATTGTGAATGTTTTGGCCAGCACCCGCTTTCTTGCCGTCGCGTTTGTAGACTGGAAAAAAAGTTAAATTTTCTTCCTCTTCCGTTACTGTTACCATTACAGGCTGCTAAAGTCCACTGCTGAACATAGGCCACCCCCATAGATTGACTCATAGGGCGGATATTTGCCATATTTGCACGCTTGGCAAGATGGCAACCGCAGTTTTTTAATTTTAGTCAATATTGGGAAAACGCTGCTGCCCAACTCCTGATGTGTTTCCCTTTGTCGACACCCACGGTATGATATGGGGTATTGGATATAATTACACTGCCACTACACGGTATCATGCTCTTCATTCGCCCCTAAAAATCCGCTACTGGGAACGGGTCTTAATGGCACCAGAGGAGTAGTAAATGGCCTGGACGACCACGGTTCTTACACTGCCTCAATTTGAATTGCGGATTCACATAGATCTCGACGAGATACGTCGAAAAGTATTTACAATTTTTTTTGGTAATATCTCGCTTAGTTACCGAGATATCGATACTCAAAAATTATTTTTTACTCTGAAATATTGACCCAAAGTTATTTCTGCAACGGCTTCAGTGCTGCAGGAAGTGCAGTCATCGTGGCCTACTCGCGACAGAATCGAGTTATTAATCAAACGAATTTTAGTTGAACTCAAGGTAATTCTTACTTCCTCCCTTCTCTTCCTAAGTTAGCGCACAATCGAATGGTGGTTCAAACTGGAGTACTAGAAAATCAGAATTAAGGTTACAAACGAGCACACAGTCCACCTGATGATAAGTGGATGCTGTGGCAAATTTTCAAAAAATATTGATGTTCGACAAAAATGGTTGAAAATAATAAATAGACAAGAATGCGTTCCCAAAAGAAAATATTCGACTATATGCAGTAATTTGAAGAAATTTTTTTTCTCATAGAACTACATTATTAATAACATTATTCTTCATATGTAATTCTAATAAAAAGAAATTGATGGAAAAACTACAACGCATACAACCATAAACACTTATTAATAAAATTGCCTATTGAAACTTATTTTATAATTAGAATTAGAATAAAGTACGTAGCAAAATTGCAAAATATCTTTAAGGAGAGCCATCGATCACTGTTTTTTATTAGTGATCGATGAGGAGAGCTCAAAATTTTGCACCCGTCAGTTTCAACCAACAATATAGTTTTAGGTACATAATGTGTGCGTCCAGCATTGGAATTTTGCTGTTAAAGAAAGGCATAAGAAAGATGTGTGCGTGAGTGCGTGGTTAGACGTTGAGCATGGTTTCGGTGACGATTGAAATATATATAATTTTTTATAGGATAGGGTGACAAACGAGCACACAGTCCACCTGATGGTAAGTGGCTACTGCGACCCATAGATATCTACATCTATCCTCAAAAGACAGATGCTGCGTTGTCACCCGTGAGGACTAAGATGGAATGCCTCTTTGCCAGTAAAAAGGGTCTCCGGTACTCTACACTCACCATACGAAACACAGCAGCGCTAAGCTGCTATTTTACGCTGGTTTTCTGTGAGACCGTGGCCCATCCCCGGTCGAGCCGACCCATTCGTACTACAACTATACTACTAATATAGCTGCAGCATGGCTCTTCCACGTGATGCTCTGTATTTGAAAAAAACTGAAGGTACAAATAAACTTTTCTTGATGGTAAGTGGCTACTGCAATATGCACATGCAGCCAACTTTTTTTTTAAATTAAAACAAGCAAAATAACCTATTTACTTGCCTTTTAAAAATCTGGACAGCTCATTCACCCAAAAGTGATAGCTACCAGGATCATTCCCCTTATACCAGATTACACTGCTGGCAACTTCTGGAGGTGTCGGTCGGAAGCCGAGGCCAGGGTTGGTGCCTATTATACTCCCCTCCAATTGCCACTTAGGCTGTCGGTCGTCCAACAGCTGAAGGAAGGTCCACATGCATATCGCCACGAGGATCGCCAGCGCGGAATAGAAGATGAAGTAAAATAGACATATTTTGGCTGCAAAAATTAAAAATTCTATACTGTAGAAAAGCCTTTGGATTATTTTAAACAAAACAATCCTCATCGGTTATAATTTAATTGCTTGAAATTTATATAGGACTACTGCAAAAAATACTCCGCCTTTATCAGCTGTTAATAGTCCACTGTTGGACATAGGCCTTTTCTATCGAACGATTCAAGTTCGATACCTGCCGGCGCCAAAGAAATTGTTACTTAAAATTTTAAGTGCTGATTCACCACGTGAACTAAAAGCAAAATATGAAGTGTGCCAATATGCATAGAGGCAGCACGACGGGTTCTTCCTTGTCTAAAACACTGTAAGGAATGATGGGAGGCCTATGCCTGTTGCATAATTATTTATATAAAGAATATTTTTTATGTGCAGAAACGGTGACGATTATGGTATGAAACGTTGTATGGGGTAGAGACCTTAAGTAGATCTACCACGTGCTCGGCAGTAAAGGACAGTGTTCCGTATACGATGTCTTTTTTTCCATTAAAATTTCGGTATAATTTTTATAACTAGAAATAATGCAATTTGAAAGGAAAAAATTTCGTCTTACGTATTAATATTTTGAATAAATTTTTATTTTTCTTACTGGCAAGCACTCTTTAACTTTGAAGCGAGCAACCTTTTTTTCAAATACATCCGCAACGACAAACAAGTAACGGCCAACTTCCTCGTCAACGCAAGCGCTAACACTTTTGACGGTACACATTACGTGCGCGTTTCGTTACCAGCAGTAGATAAGATCTAATTTCCCTGTTCCATCAAATACTAAGGCAGTTTTCCATATTCCATATTGTAGAATTGAAGTGATTTACGAACTTAAAATCCACCTGATGGTAAATGGCTAGTGTAGCCCATGAACATCTGCAATTAATATCACTGCCATCAACTGTGGCACACAGGCCGCTACATTTATTATCTACTAACTGTTCTTCGCGACCTCGCCCGCGTGTTATTTAGGGTATTAATTTTTAGCGCGGAACCCTAATTCTTCTTCTAAAATAAAAGTAGCCTAAGTTACACCTTGTGACATCAGCTATCTGCCAGTGAAAATCCCGTCAAAATCGGTTCAGCCGTTTCGGAGATTAGCCGGTACAAACAGACAGACAGACGGACAGACAAAAAATTTAAAATTTTTTTTTTGTTATAAGTACCGTATATACTTTCATATTCATTTAGTAAAAAGCTGTAATTTTGACATTACAAACGGAGACTTCATATTTATTTATTTGTAAAGATTAAAAATATGAATCCAGATGCGATTTCAGCCATGAAAACTAAGCTGTTTCTCGTCACTCATCATACGAAGTACAGCGGTATATGTTATTGAGCGTGGTGATTCCCCGACCAGCCAACCTATTCGTGCTACAGCAACAATGCATCTATCTCTATCACGTACAGACACTACGTCATAGTAGAATGGGTACTAATGCGTTGTCACTTATAAGGGTTAAGGTGGAATTCCTCAATGCTTGTAATCAGGTAGTGCACTGCTATTTGGTGGCAGAAATACGTAAGCGGGTGGAACCTACCCAGACATATGCGTTTTATAACTATACTATCCCACTCGATGGTAAGTGGTGATGCAGCCGGAGATGATAAAGTGCATTGAATCTTTATAAATGCCTATTCACTCTTGTCTTGAACACACCCACATTGTTATTGGACAGATGCTGGCAACTTATTCCACTCCTTTACTATACGCATGACGAACGATGCACCTTTTGGTTCGAATGCGTGGTAAGTCAACAACGAAAGGATGGAGATTGGCCCAGCGTGTGGTTGTCCGATGGTGGAAGGGAGAGGGAGGAATTAAGTTAGGCAATTCCTGCGCACACTCTCCAAAATCATTCTATAGAAAACCGAAAGGCTACTTTGCTCGTTGGCAAGGAATCCTACCACCACCTAAAGCCTGTTACTTTATTTAAGTTTTAATTTGCAATAATCACAAGAGATTAGCCCCACGGTACGTTCGGTAGTAACTCGCCGTAGCCGGTGCGATCTCCTCCGCGACAGGATGTCCCAATGAACTCATTGTAGCAATTCACTGGCGGCATCACTTCCGCCCGGCCACGCTCTCGCCTTGTGACGCTCGGTCGCGGTCACTTATAATCTTTTCTACTGTTATTAAGAAGGAGATTGTCGACATTCTCCCGTTTTATTACAAAAAATAAAATAAACGGAAACCGATACGACATATGAACCTTCAAAATAAGAGCTTACTCATTTTTAAATGCCTGCAAATCTCCTGGTGTTGCAGTTGTTCATGGGCGGCGGTCGACACTTACTATCAGGTGAGCCGCAGGCTCGTTTTCCTCCTTTTATATAATAAATAAAATTAAAAATTAAAATTTTGTACAACCTACTTCAATATAAGTTATTAAGAATAACTTAAAAACTATTAGTCAGTCTTCGATCAAATTTATACGAGATCACATGAGAAGCACAAGCTTTCAAATAAAAAAAGGATCATCGAAATCGGTTCACCCAGAAAAAAGTTATGAGGTAACACACATAAAAAAAAAAACATACAGAGGAATTGAGTACCGTCTCCTTTTTGAAGTCGGTAGAAAAAGCAAGAGAAGTAGATACACAAAATAATGAACTCAAAACAAGTCAATGAACATAATAATACGATGAGTATAACTTTAATTGTTACGATGAGTGTAAAAAAAAAGTACAAACAGGAACACTGTTCCTTGGATTCTGCCTATACCTGTATTTGCTGCCCATCGCCTCCTCAATCATCCCATTAGCCGCCTTTTACGAAATGCTAGGTAAGTAATACAGTTGGCAAATTAATTATTTATACTTCTACATTTTAAACGACGTTTTATTTATTTAAAGTTACAAAAATTGAGCGGGGAAGATACGGCCACTGAATGTGTAGTGTGATACGTAGTTGATACATTCTAGTAGACGTAGAACTGACTGCTGTATTTCGTCTTTATTGCACGCCTTATAACGCCAATCGTTATTAGATAGTTTATTACTCTCGACACGTCAAGATCGAGCAATTTTGTGGTCTTAAATGCCTCTATCCTAAGCCTCTATCATAACTATATTGCACTTATACGATAACATGGGTAGCCGTATATTAAGAAAATATTCTAACTAATCCATCTTATATTTTATAATAATCATTTTATATTGCTACTTTGATAAGAAATGGTTTGAAAAAAATTTTACGTGGACATACGGATGTTGATTTTGTATGTGGTCACGATAACTCCCGAAAAAATTGATGTATAGAAACCGGGTTTTTTTTTATTAGCTTCAGAATTACGTCAACTGGTTCCCTTTTTAATATCAACAGCCTAGTACGCGTCGTTTGTAAATAAAATGATTTTTTAGTTTTATTAATTTTACTGCTATTAAAAATATAATTAAATGTCGATTTTATACTTTGTGTAATCGATTTATTTTGGTAATTTATTTATTTCATCAAAATTAAATGAAACGCTCATGAGGCGTGCACTTGGATTTTCCAATCTATTCTGTATTTTTATTCTTTATTGTAAACAATTTTAAGTAATTCAAATAAGATGTAAAAAGGCGAGCTTAACCATAATAAGAGTTATTTTCCAGCAAACCCTTGGGGAAACAGAAATGGTTATATATGTAGAGCAAGTAGGTAGCAGCGTGCGCGTACTTAATAATGAACTTAATCACTACTTATTAGAAATTGGCTGTGAGTTATATTTAAAATTAACATATATGTATATGTTTGAATATAGCTAAATTTTCTATTTCTGGCGGCATGACTCTACCACGTAAATATAGAATAGAATAGAATATTTTTTATTCAATAGAGATCACAAGTATAATTCTTATTGAAAGTAATTTTTTACTTTACCATGTTTTTTTTTGTTATAGGATAAGGGTGGCAAACGAGCACACAGTCCACCTGATGGTAAGTGATTGCTGTGGCCCATAGACATCTACATATATCTTCGTTTGCGAATTAAAATGTAGATGCGTTGTCAGCCGTGAGGACTAAGATAGAATGCCTCTTTTCCAGTAAAAAGGGTCTCCGGTTCTCTACACTCACCATACGAAACACGCTTACGCTGGTATTCTGTGAGAGTGTGGTCCTTCCCCGGTCGAGTCGACCCATTCGCGCTACAACTATACTATTAATACAGCTGCAGCATGGCTCTACCACGTACAAAAACTTCTGTCCTGGAAAGAACCAGCAAGAAACACAGCGGGACTTTTTTAAAGTAAATTTTTCAATAATGGTTGTACAAAGTATTTACAAAATTTATTTTAGAAACTGCTTGGAAGCGACCACCTCATTCCCAGGGGTTATTATCAACCATGTATTCATTTATATTATAACAACTCCTTTTATACAGTTTCAGTTTAACAAAACATTTAAACTTGGTAATACGGAGAGCCTGTACACTTTTTTATAGTATAGGGTGACAAACGAGCACACAGTCCGCCTGATGGTAAGTGGTTGCTGTGGCCCATAGACATGTACATCTATCTTCGTTTGCGAATTAAAATGTAGATGCGTTGTCACCCGTGAGGACTAAGATGGTATGCCCCTTTTCCAGTAAAAAGGGTCTCCAGTCACACTCACTATACGAAATAAAACAACGTTAAGCTTCTATTTTACGCTGGTATTCCGTGAGAGCGTGGTCCTTCCCCGGTCGAGCCGACTCATTCGTGCTACAACTATACTACTAATATAGCTGCAGCGTGGCTCTACCACGTATGTTGACCTTGGCCTTGTTGTAATAGCGTATCCATTGTCCCAAGAATGAATTACTGACTCTGTGGAGACGAGAAACTGGTATCACTAGCTTGTGTTTGTTCCTAGTGTTTACAGAGTGTACGAGTATATCACTCTTTTTTTTTACTAAAACTTTTGTGAACATACATAAAATTTTCGTAAATGTACCGAAAGGCCAAAGTTAATATTTTCATTTCTTTAAATTTATCTCTAAGAGACTCTATCGGTTTTGAGTTGTAAATAGCTCTAAATATCTCTTCTGTATAACAAAAATAGTTTCTGAATCAGCCGCATTTCCCCATAGCACAATCCCATAAGACATTATGCTATGGAAATAACTGAAATAAACTAGTCTAGCTGTCTCGACACTAGTGAGACCTCTAATCTTTTTTACAGCATAGGCTGCAGAACTTAGTCTGCTAGTTTGGATATATGGGGGCCACACTGAAGCTTTGCGTCGAGAGTGATGCCAAGAAAACCAGTGGATTCAACAGAGCTCAGTTTTTCCCCATTTAAAACACATTGGTATTCAGATTATTAACATTCGATGTTGATAATCTGAATACCAATTTAGTTTTATTTCCGTTTAAATGTAGATTATTAACGTTAAACCAATGCACTAATTTTGATATAGCATTATTCACTTCGTCACATATAAATTAAGATAATAATATACCATGTATATAACATAACATAAACACTCACGCCTGTCACCCAGAGGGGTAGGCAGAAACTATGGACTTCCATTTTGCACGATCCTGACACACCTCTCTCGCTTCCTCCACATCCATATACCTACGCATACACGCTCGTCGGATAAAGGTACCGCCAATTTGGTCAATAAACTTTCGCCTAGGGCGACCCTTCCCGACTCTGCCGTTCACCTCTGCAACATAAATTTGCTTTGTCACTCTTTCCTCATTCATTCTTTCTACATGACCAAACCACCGAAGCATTCCTTTCTTAATCCTGGTCACAACATCATCTTGCAAACCGCACTCTTCTCTTATTAAACAATTTCTCACTCTGTCATTCAGATTCATCCCTAACATACTCCTTAATGACCGCATTTCTACAGCATTTATTCTACTCTCGTGCTTCTTCTGCCACACCCAACTTTCACTACCATACATTAAAGTAGGTACTAACACAGCATTGTGAATTGCCATACGTGCCTTTTTGGACACATTCTGACTTATCAGAATAGAGTGTAGAGCTCCATTCACTCTATTTCCTGCATTCACTCGTCTTTCTATATCCTTATCATATCTACCATCCCTGCTAAACACACATCCCAAATACACAAACTCATCTACTTGCTCTACCAACTCCCCTTCTATTCTTATTTCACATATCGTTTTACTTTCTTCTTTCTTTTTTAAAAACCATAACTTTCGTCTTACTTGCGTTCACTTTCATTCCCTTTTCTTTTAATGTCCTGTTCATTAATGTAACCATCATTTGCAACTCGGCTGCCGACGACGCAAGTATGACTTGATCATCTGCGTACAAAAGGCATTTGACGGTTAACTCACCCATTCTTAACCCGCATTCTTCTACTTTCAAATTTTCCAAACAACTGTCCATAAATAGGTTGAACAGCTTCGAGGGAGCCACACAGCCCTATCTGACACCTTTATGGATGCCAAAGCAGTCCGAGTAGGCCCCGTTGATCCTGACGCAAGCACTTGAGTCCCTGTACAGAGACTTCAATGCCTGTATAAATCCAGTGCTCAACCCAAATGAGTTCAGTGTTTGCCATAACACATCCCTGTCCACTCTGTCATATGCCTTCTCCAAGTCCATGAACGCACAAAAAAATTTTTGGTTTTTGGCCAAAAACTTCAAGAAGAAGAAGTATGGTAGATTTCATAATTGTTGATGAAAGAATGAGGAGCGCGGTGGTAGATACAAGGGTTTACCGGGGCTCTAACGTAGGGATGGACCATTACTTGGTCTTATGCCGAATTAATGGTCTTTTCAGACGTTGGAGGCATCGGACATCTGTGTCTACCACTGCGTTACAACGTATAAGAATAGAGAGGTTAAAAGATGAAGGTGTGAAAGAGAAGTTCAAATGTAGATTGAGAGAAAATATAAGTGGTATGGCTGAATTGTGTATGAATGATTTAGACTTGGAGACTGTGTGGTATAATGTCAAGAAAGGTTTAGTGGATGCAACTACCGAAGTATGCGGTGTAAGTAAGAGAACGAATGAAAGGAAAAATAACACGTTATGGTGGGATGATGAGGTACGGATAGAAGTTGAAGCAAAGAAGAAAGCATGGCTAGATATACTAGCAACCAAGGCTAGTAATTCTAGCAGTATGAATGATGATATTGAAAGGAAAAAGGCAGTCTTTAGACATCTAAATAAGAGAGTAAAAGAAGTAGTTGAAAGGAAAAAGCAAAAAAGAACGGATAAGAATGATAGAAGAACAGTACAGTATATTTACAGTGGTAGAGCCACGCGGCAGCTTTTGCTGTCGCACGGATGGGCCGGCTCGAACCGGGGTAGTACCACGACCTAACAGAAAACCCGCGTGAAGTAGAGGTTTATCTCTGCGTTTCGCTTGGTGAGTGCAGGTGGCCGGAGGCCCCTTTTACTGGAAATGAGGCATTCCATCTTAGTCCTCACGGGTGACAACGCATCTACATTTTGATTTGTAACAGAGGATAGATGTAGATGTCTATGGGCCGCAGCAACCACTTACCATCAGGTGGACTGTGTGCTCGTTTGTCACCCTTATCCTATAAAAAAAAAGAATATCGGATAACTTCCAGGCAAACATTAAAATGTTCTGGAAACTCGTAAGAACTGCCAGGGGACATTCAAAACAGCCTAGAATGAATGCTACACGAGACCAGAATGGCTGTATTCTGAATGACGAAGTTCTGAGTCATCGAAGTACACCTTCAGATCACTCTTGAAAGAGTCTGGAGGTAAAGTCTCATCATATCAATAAAATAGAATGGAATAGATGGAATAGAATGGTATGTAATGGAATGGAATTGAATGGAATTGAATGGAATAGAATGGAATAGAATAGAATAGAATGGAATAGAATGGAATAGAATAGAATAGATAGAATAGAACAGCTTAGAACAGTATATAATAGAACAAAATATAATTGCCATCAGGTTGATTGGTTTTTTTTGTTCTTTTTTTTTATAGTATAAGGGTGACAAACGAGCACACAGTCCACCTGATGGTAAGTGGTTGCTGCGGCCCATAGACATCTACATCTATCCTCTATTACAAATCAAAATGTAGATGCGTTGTCACCCGTGAGGACTAAGCCTCATTTCCAGTAAAAAGGGCCTCCGGCCACCTGCACTCACCATACGAAACGCTTGGTGAATGCAGGAGGCCGGAGGCCCTTTTTACTGCAATTGGTCCCTTTGTCACTTCAACTTCTTAAAAAAAATTCGTGACGGAGAAAAATCAGTTCACTATAGCAAAGTTCTAGTCTTATTTAATTTTTTGGTACTCACACCAGCTCGATGCAGTGCGGCCACAAAACTGTCTTGTCTTAGGGTTCCAGATGAAACGCTTGGCCTTCTCTCCCGCGGTCAGCGGCGGCTCCTTCTGCCGGTAATATAGGTTAAACCGTTCCAAGCTCGACAAGTCTGAGGGTCGCTTCTTCACTGTCATTTTGCAGGCTTCAAAAATTCTGTTCGAATTGAAATTTTTGCAAAGACTTGCTATGAGACCTGTGAAAATATTCAAAATTCAAATTCAAATTGTTTATTGCATGTCACATAACAAATTTAAGATGGTATATTATTGGTAGGTATGTATGTGACGCTCTGCAAGGGCATAGATACACTAGAGAACAACAAAATCATGCAAATTATCATAAACGTGACTTTTCATTGCAAAATATAAAAATTAACAGAGTAATGTACTATTCAAATTATTCTGTATTTAAAACAGAATGGAATGAGTGAAATAAACGCGAAATAAACCTACTGAAAATTAACCTGTGATATGTGCAAGTATCAAGATTATTACTTTTATTAACATCGCAGCCACTCACAGAACAATTAATCATTCTTAAAAACAATTATATTTAATAAAAATTAACACGATTAAGCTCAAAAAGAAAATGAAAATTACTGAGGAGTTAACTTTTAAACATGAATTATATATATTTCATAATCCTTGTAATAATAAAGTCTTCCAGACCGAATTTCTGTCAAAGCGGCTAGTTTTAACGGAGACTACCCATCTGCGCAGGACAGGACTATCGTGCCCAAGTGTATGTGCAAGCACAGGTGCACTCTCTATTCCCTCACTCTCATAGTACGATGGGGCAGATATCCAACACGACCGGAGAGAGATTACGGGCAGGACCAACGGCTTTACGTACTTTCCGAGGCAAAACACCGCCAATTTCGTCTCACAGAATACCGGCGTAAAATAGCAGCTTAATGCTGCTGTAAGTGGAGAGAACCGGAAACGGTTTTTACTGGAAAAGAGGCATTCTATCTTAGTCCTCACGGCTTACAACGCATCTGAATTTTAATTCGCAAACGAAGATAGATGTAGATGTCTATGGGCCACTGTAACCACTTACCATCAGGTGGACTGTGTGCTCGTTTGTTATCCTTATTCTATTAAAAAAACTCCAGGTTGCTACTGAAAATTTCTAAACAGAACAACCCAATAACTGATTTCGGCCCGACCCGGCTTCGAACCCGGCACCCTAAGATCTGTAATCGCGCTATCGACCACTAAACCAACGAGGCAGTCAATCTTTGTATAATATATATATATATATATATGCAGCATGGCTCTACCACGTATATTTAATACGTGGTAGAGCCATGCCAGCCCGCAGACTCGCAGACTTGACGACTTCCAGCCTAGCGAAAATAGGAAATTGTAGCCTAGCAAATTGTACAGAAGTCCGAAGAGTACAATTTGCCACTATGTCTGGCGTATGTGAACTATGAGAAAGCCTTTGATTCCGTCGAAATTTGGGCGGTGCTGCAGTCCCTTCAGCGGTGCCAAGTTGACTGTCGGTATATCGAAGTGCTGAAGTGTTTGTACAGTAGAGCTACGATGGCTATCCGAGTACAGAACCAGAGTACGAAACCTATCCAATTGCAGAGAGGTGTAAGACAGGGTGATGTTATATCCCCAAAACTCTTCACCGCTGCATTGGAAGACGTTTTCAAGCTTCTGGACTGGACAGGATACGGTATTAACATCAATGGCGAGTACATCACTCACCTTCGATTTACCGACGATATAGTCCTTATGGCAGAATCGCTGGAGGACCTAAGCATTATGCTCAATGACCTCAATAGTGTCTCCCAACGGATAGGTCTTAAGATGAACATGGACAAAACAAAGATTATGTTTAATGTCCATGTCACACCTATGCCGGTAGTTATAAAAGTGACCAACATAGCCCCACGGATTAGTAAGCTGAAATGGCAATGGGCCGGCCATATAGATAGAAGAACTGACAATTGATGGGGAAAAAGGTTCTCGAGTAGCGGCCTCGTACCGGCGGACGAAGTGTAGGGCGTCCCCCCACTAGATGGAGTGACGACCTGGTAAGATATGCAGGAAGTCGATGGATGCAGGTGGCTCAGGACCGTGGTTTGTGGCATTCTTTGGGGGAGGCCTATGTTAAGCAGTGGACTTGTGAAGGGCTGTAATGATGATGATGATGATAATATTAATTAATTGCACCTACAACTACTTACCACAGCTAGGGTTAACTGGCTAAGAATGTCTAATGGTATTAAAAATTAAAAAAAGCAAATATATGAGTAATAATGATTGTAACATAAAGGTATCATATTAAATTAATTAATTTGTTATTCTATATATTTTGTTTAATTATGTTATTCTATAGTAATCATTGACTGCTACAGATTCAATTGATGTGATTCTAAAATATTCAGTTCTGAACAGCTATAAATTTGAAGGTAAAGTAAAGTAACTATTTAGATGAAATTTCAATTGTTTTAGGAACTTCGGCGCACATAGACTCCCCGGACCGACAGTCACTACAGCAAATGGCATAAATATGTAGTTATCCTTCAGAGAGCCATTTTCGCAACATTTACTCGATTCAGTCGCCTCTAACACCGCTTGGCTCTAAATGAGGTAACCTTGAGATGAGAGGTACCTGAAATGTCTACGCACGTATCATCTCACACGGGCTTTGCCTCTATTCCGAGGGATCAATGTCATACCGTCCGGTACCTTGTTATCGTTTCGAAGTATCTAACAAGGATCTAAAATTCAATAAAACACGGGACAATTGTTGGCAACCATAATTTTTTTCAATTAAATTTAATATTTTTTTGAAAATTTTATGTGGTTTTTTTACCTCGTAACTCAGGGGTACCCAAACTTTTAAGGTAATGAAACACATACCAAATCCCTTTTATTTTAAGGAACCCCACATCAAATGATTACGTATCATAGACAGGGCAATTGAAATAATATTATAAATTTTTTTCTTGCTAACTGCCTATGTATCCATATAACAGTAATGGGTTCTTCTCATCACATATTTTGCACCAATTCAAAATAATATTTGTAACAAAGTGTGAAATTACTTAATAAGCAAATATAAATAATTTCGCGGAACCCTGGTGACTTTTCCACAGAACCCTTAGGTTTCGCGGAACCCACTTTAGTAATCTATACTCTACACTGAGGCGCTCATCGATAAAGCGGAGACTTTGACAATACCAATGCAGAGGTATAAAACCTTATACAATTTGTAAAATAATTTTTTTTTTGTAAAATTAAAAGTAAAATTTTGTTAAAATTTTCTTCTATATGTTAGTATACTGATTCTGATAACACTCTTAACAGGAACCACAAGTTTTTTGTTACATGCTGTTTATATAACTAAGATAAAATGTCCTTCTTTATTGCGGTTCCGTCCACGTGGATAAATATCGCTTTATTTTGCCGCCCTATTCATATATTTCAGATAATATGCCAACTATTGACAAGAATTTTAATGTACTCGAAGAAAAAATAGAGATATACGTGGTATTGCTATGCTTCAGCAATATTTTTTTTGTAGCAGAAATGGATCGGCTCGACCTGAGAAGTACCATGATATATACATCAGGGATGACAACTCATCTGCATCGCAACGCATCACATTCTTCACTGAACCCTCAGTGGCCTATAGACATTAGATGTAGATGTCTATAGGCCACAGCAACCACTGACTATCAGGTGGACTGTGTGCTCGTTTGTCATCCTTATTGTATCATCATTTCAGCCCTTCACAAGTCCACTGCTGAACATAGGCCTCCCCCAAGGAATGCCACAAAGCACGGTCCTGAGCCACCTGCATCCATCGACTTCCTGCATATCTTACCAGGTCGTCACTCCATCTAGTGTGGGGACGCCCTACACTTCGCCTGCCGGTACGAGGCTGCCACTCGAGAACCTTTTTTCCCCATCGGTTGTCGGTTCTTCGAGCTATATGGCCGGCCCATTGCCACTTCAGCTTACTAATCCGTTGGGCTATGTCGGTCACTCTGGTTCTACTGCGGATATCCTCATTTCTAAGTTTATCACGCAGAGAAACTCCGAGCATAGCCCTCTCCATAGCTCGCTGAGCGACCTTGAGCTTCCTCATCCGGCCAGCAGTGAAGGACCACGTCTCAGTACCATAAGTCATCACTGGCAACACGCACTGGTTGTACAGTCTCGTTTTCAAGTTTTGAGGTATATATTGTATAAAAAAGAGAAAAGGTAAAAAACAGAATGGCAGAGTAATAGTAACTTACTAAGTACTTCTTGCATTCAAAGATCTATTTCTGAAAAAATAATGGTTCGCCAGTATTGTAAAGAAGTACTTAATGATCCAACTACAATATAGAAAAGGTTATTTAGCAATATAAATCATTATGGCACATGCTCCGATTGTATGGTAAAACTGACTTTATTGGTCAGCAGATGCCGATACCTCGAATATGTATATCGCTTGTAATAATCAACGGTGTTCCAAAAGCGAAAAGGATATTCGACGCATATATTTAGTTTATATATGTATATCGATATCTCGGCAACGGCTGAACCAATTTAATGATTCTTTTATTAAATAGATAAATAGTTCAAGGGTAGTGCCATTTGAATTAAAAAAATCTGTGAAATTAGGGGATGAAATTTTTAACACACGCACACACAAACACTCACGCCTGTTACCCAGAGGGGTAGGCAGAGACTACGGACTTCCATTTGGCGCGATTCTGACACACATCTCTCGCCTACTTTACATCCATATATCTACGCGTACACGCTCGTCGAATCTGGCCCATTTTTAATGTATCGCCGATTTGGTCGATAAACCTTCGTCTAGGGCGTCCCGTCCCGACCCTGCCGTTCACTTCAATTTTTAACGTAACTATTTAAACGACATTCTAGCTAAATTCAAATTGTAACATTCCTCAGTCAATTAAAAATAATAAAAAAAAAATAACTTTAAAGAAAATTAAAACTAATTCTTTAATTCTTCGATACACTTTATCTTAGTGCCGACCCTAGAAGCTGTTATAAGAATTTTTTTATTTTTGATTTAGGGTTTTCTTTAAAAAATAAGTTTAATTATACACTAGCAACCCTGGATCTATATGATAATCAAAGACCATGTATTTTATCAAACATTCGTGTTTTTTAAACTGAGTTTTTCGAATAAAATATCAAGGTAGCCTAGATTACTCCTATTAATTTTCTCTAACTATTCATAAAGTTTCATCGGCGTCCGTTCAGCCATTTCCAAGATTAGCCCGGGCAGACAGACAGACAAACATTTTAAAGATGGTTGTTTATGTCTTAACAGCATATAAATGACGCATGGGCTTAGTAAAAGCCATTTGTTTCAATATTACAGAGAGACGTTTCAATTTTATTTATATGTATATAGATTACAAGATACTTAAGATCAGAATAGAATGTATTTATTTCTAATAAAATAGTTCTTGTATTAAGATAAAGGTTTTTAATATAAAGGTAATCAGCCAGCTGTTCTTGATGATTTTACTAAGTCCCCTTCAATTTGAGAGGCACTACTCCAGCGGAGGATTGCTGGACATGCTGAAGTTGAAGAAGAAGACGAAGAGGAATAGCAACGAAGAGGAGAACGATAGAAGACTGAGTAAAAAGTTCGCCTTAATTTTTAAATACACGGGACTAATAAACTCTGTGATTGCCGGCAGCAATTAAAGGATTTCCAATGGCGTATTAAATGAAATATCTTCTTGTATACGCTTTTACAACAAAGTCCCAGAAAATATTCAGGCAAATGTTTCAAATGTTTATTAAGCAAAAATTGTCTGGTAAGGGTTATTATACTAATAAAGAGTACATGACTGATAATAACCCCTGGGAATGAGGTGATCGCTACCGTGCTGTTTCTAAAAATATAAAGTATTATACGAAAAAAGTCCCGCTGGGTTTCTTGCTGGTTCTTCTTAGGACAGAGGTTTTTTTGAACCAGTGGTAAAGCTTAAATGATTTTCAAGAAGTATTTTTGTAATCTATATCGAATAAAAATGATTCTATTCTATTCTATTCGAAGATTGGTTTATATGATATATGAATGCAGTGGTTTGTGCTTACTTGTAATTAGGTTCGTCCAATGTTGGCGAGAAGAGCGGCGCGAGAGTGCGGCGCACGCAGACTGCGCCCGCGCATTCTTCTAGCACTGCCGCCAGGATAATGGGACGGTGTTATGCTCAAAGGATGTAAATTAAAAAGTTAATGTTTTTGTGTTATGTAGCGAGACATTTCAACTTAGTCCTTATGTGCATTTTTCTTTCTTATGCTAATAGTATTTTTTTCAAATATGATTCTTAATCAAGCATATTTATTTATTTATTTATTTATTCTTTATTGCATTCCTTAAAACAAAAGAATACAAAGGGCGGACTTAATGCCTTGAGGCATTCTCTACCAGTCAACCCATGGAGTGGTGAGAATTTGACGTAGGTGCGACAATATAGAATAAAATAACAGTACACAAAATAATAATTAACTACATAATACATACAATTTACTAATAAATAAACTATACATATATGACGTATACAAACATATATACAAATATATACATACAAATATACATATTTAAATACATAATATATAATTAGTACATACAAATACCTATGAACATATGCGTCTGTTTAGCAATACATATCAAATGGATGAATCAAGTAAAATGCTTTGTCTTCAATAGATGGTTACGGACCAATTTTTTAAAAACATACAAGCATATATGTAGGTCTATGTGGCCACAGCATCTACTTTACGTCACGTGGACTATGTGCTCTTTTGTAAAGTAAAAGTAAAGTAACTTTACAATATTATATTTATTATAAAGACAAGAACAAATGTTATGAACTATTTTGTGTGTGTGTGTGTGTGTGTGTGTGTGTGTGTGTGTGTGTGTGTGTGTTTGTTTGTGCGTGGGTGCATTCATGTTTGTATGATTGTTTGTTCATAAATTAGTGAACTTCTCTATATTTATTTGTAAAGCGAGTATGTAAACATGTGTACAGTTCACAAGCGGTAGAAGTGAAACCTTCAGAAAACTAAACTTTGAAAGAATGAAACGAGTGTCAGGAGTGGGATAATTGTGGGGTTTATTTATTGTAATATTGTTACCAAGCTTAAGAGTTTTACTATACATTATATATTATGTTATAGATAACGATAAGATATAGAAAACACTGTATAATGTATTCTGTATGTTTATTCTCTCGCAGGCCAAATCCTGTAGATGTATATGTTTGTCTTTTTTTAGTGTCACTTTTTCGTTTCATTGAGGTTAAAATTGCAACGATTCAAAGAAGTTTTCTCTTCAAAAACCCTTTTGTAGAAACCTTTTTATTACCTTTTTTCACCTTCATTGCATTTGTCGTATAACACCATCCGCTAGCCCCCTCGCGCGTGTGCACTCGTAATAATTCGTTACCGTGCCTGTTTCGTGTCCTTGTTTATGAGCGAATGTGATTTAATGTAATTCGCAATGCCGATCCGTTACTTAATGGATTATATTAAAAAAGCAATCATAAGTAGTTTCACGAAAGAAGTCCTGTGAAAAATATCTTGTCTTGTAGGCATAAGTATGTATATATGTGATTGGTTTCTCGGAAACGACTCTGACGATTTTTTTAAATTATAGAATAAGGGTGACAAACGAGCACACAGACCACCTAATGGTAAGTGGATGCTGTGGCCCATAGACATCTACATTTATCCTCAATTAAGAATCAAAACGCAGATGCGTTGTCACCCCTGAGGACTGAGATGGAATGCCTCGTTTCCAGTAAAAAGGGTCTCCGGTTCTCTACACTCACGATATGAAACACTGCAGCTTAATGCTGCTATTTTACGCTGGTCGCTAAGAGCGAGGTCCCACCACGGTCGCGCGGACGCACTCGTGCTGCAACCACAATATAGCTGCAACATGGCTCTACCACGTAAAACAAAATTTTTGTTATACATGGTAGAGCTCACAAAAGATTTGCGTGGCATTTTGTATTTAGACATTGAGCTATTGCGTGCTACGTTCATACTTCAATGTATTTAGATAATGTTTTACTTTGCAAGTTTACCCAGATAGGTTTCATGTCTGAGATAATTAATTTTTCTAACGCTTTAGAGTATTTATTATCTATGTTATTAGTCTATCGCTGAGAAAAGCTCAGATACCGTAAATTTAAAAGTGATGTGATTGAATTTAAAAGCAAATGTAAAGACAAAGGACTTCTTTCTAAGATAGACTGTAAAATCTGCGCACTCAAAAATATATCACCGAAGCCTTTTCTTTTCGAATGAAAAATGAAAAAATATCTTTCGAACTTTCGTTTTTTTTATCAAATTATGCTGACAAGCGAGCACACAGTCCACCTGGTGGTAAGTGGTTGCTGCGGCCCATAGACATCTACATCTATCTTCGTTTGCGAGTTAAAATACAGATGCGTTGTCACCCGTGAGGACTAAGATGGAATGCCTCTTTTCTAGTAAAAAGGGTCTCCGGTTCTCTACACTCAACATACGAAATACAACAGCATTAAGCTGCTATTTTACGCTGGTATTCTGTGAGAGCGTGAATTGTAATGAGACGGATGAGATCTTAAAAAAATTATTACATTCGCTGCCACCCTTGGATCGATTGACTAATATCACATAACTAAATTAAAAATTTATATTATGTAATGCAACCTGTAATTAAATTATTTAGTTATAGGTATTATATTATTTATTTTCGTACCTGGCTGTTTCCTTTTATAAAACTGGATTGACAAACGAACCTACAGTCCACCATCAGTTATTAATTACTGTAGAAGTCTATAGGTGCGCTGTCTCCCCTGAGAACTTCACGATACCATTCTCACTATCTGGATGCTTGGCGGTCCACGACTGTGCGTTTTACTAGGAGTTTTCTTCCTCGTACAACTTCTCTCTGGAATTGTTTATCACCGGCGATTTTTTCGGACCGATACAACATAGTGACCTTCAAGAAAAAAGTTTACACCTTTCTAAAATGCCGGCAACGCATCTGCAATTCCCCTGGTGTAGCAGTTGTTTATGGGCGACGGTAGTCACTTACCATCAGGTGAGCCGCATGCTCGTTTGTCCCCGCTTCTATAAAAAAAAAGAACTAAGATGGAATGCCTCACAGCCTGTACTATAACTGTATAGACTGAAAGAAATGTTTTAGGCTGTAGATCTGATTTACCTTTTCTCTTTACATTGAATGAATGTAAGTGTGTGCTACTCTTTGTCAGCGCATATATAGGATCATAAAAACATGAAATACATTTGTAGTATTTGTGGCTTTTGATTGTTCGAAAGTAATTGCTGTGGTCAAATTCCTCTAGAAGCACATCATCGTAACCTGGATAACGTTATTTGAGATATTTTATCCTTATCATAGACCCGATTGGCTCGATAAAATAGTGATTGTGTATTTTTTCTTTTCTGCATTTTTAGTTTAGTTCCCGGCTCAGGCAACTTTTTATAACAAAAAAATAATGTGGTTATTCTTATTTCGAAAAACTGAGGTATATTTCCTGTGAGTGAAATTTGATATCTTCAATATTTAATGTACCCTGTATACCTTTATTTAGTAAAAAGCTGTTATTTTGACATTACAAATAGACAGTTCAATTTTATTTATTTGATATGTATTTTATATGATTATTGTTATTCTTATTTTTAAATATTCTTTGAAAATTACGCGTTAGGTCGCGGGTTCCTTTAACTCAACGTCACGGGAGTCATTATGCTGGTTACGTACGGGACGGAAGCGGCTCATTGTCGTCGCGGCCGCTTCCTTCGACTGCTGACCTCCACGGCATACGAGACGCTAACTTAGCGGAGCCACGGGTCCTTATATTCACGACTCTGACTCGGAAATACAACAGCAGGTCCTATCAACGAATTAGGTTTTGAAGATCGCGACCCTTAGGATCAAAGTATTTGGCTATTTTGTGGGCCCATGGTTCGATTTGTGAAATTTATATTGTATTATATTAATATATTTAATATATCAATTTACATTATATTCCGTAACCGAATGCAATCCGTTGCATCTCGTTTCAGTCAACTAAGCCTAGGTGTATCCGCAATGCAGCTTTGGTCTTGTATATGTACCTACATTAAATCTGTAAACTTACAAAGATATCTGAAGGGTCTATGTAACTGTATGTTGCTCTCTCTCGGATGAAAGTCATTTAATAAGTAAGACAACACATCGATTAAGAAGCCCGCTGAAAAATACACGAGAAATCTTTGTTAATACTTGCAACCTGATCAATATTTACAAGATTTTGTTTTTAAAATCGATAGTCGGTAGTCTTTTGTTCTTTTTTTCTGCATACATATTCGATTCTTCAATTCATGAAATCAAATCAAAGTTTCGCTTGTTAAACAAGCGATATATTGATTTCTTACGTCCTCAAATAATGAGTTATTAATAGAATAGAAATTTTCTTTTTATATAATTTTCTTTGATTTTGGAGGTCTATGTTCAGGAGTGGACTGCTATAGGGTTGTAATGATGATGATGATGATACGGAAATTAAAGAAACAGATGCACCAGTAAAAAGGAGAAAAACGATAAATAATCGCTTCTGTTTATTGACATTGTCACTAGATAAAATAGTATATGCGCCACGCTAGCGAAACAAGAACCATAGCTATCCATCGACGTGTCGTCGCCTGTTATCGCTTGTACTAAAGCTGCAGTTATCTATATTCAGGGATCTTCAAAAACAGCGTCTACTCCTTTATAAAAGTCCCGCGACGCACCTTCAATTTTTCTGGTGCTGTTCATAGGTGATGGTGATCACTTACCATTAGCTGTACTCTCATTTGCCTCTTCTTTTGTGATGTTGTCGGTGGAATGTCTACTTGTTTAATATTGGGAAGGGCTTTATTGTTGGGTAGCTAGTTTGGGTTCATCCATCTATCCTCTCATTGCAGCCCCACGAAAGTCCTACTGTTGAGCTTAGGCCTCCCCCATAGAGTGCATCTTAGAGGATTTCGCTTAAGTTGCTATGATGGCGCGGATTGTCGGCCGCAGTTTTTTTATAATTTTGAATTGTATTCACGAAGATGCTGCTGGCTTGTTAGCAACTAATTACACAGGGTTCCGGTTTAAAGCGTAAGGAAGTGA